TTGAGGTGCCCATATGGGAAGGTGGGGGTGGCCCGCAGGCCCGCAGGCCCAGCGAGTCATGTTGGCAGTTTGAGTGAGAAATAAGAGGTTACACGTCCGAGGCTCGGCATTTTCTCTTTGGGGAGAGGAGGACGATGGGTGGTGAGGAAATCAAACAACACATGGATCCATTGGTGGGCGTCTGATGTGGGCTCATCCAGGGCATGAGATGAGGAAAAATAATACCTATGTGATCAAAGTACCTGATGTGCCTAAATATTTAAGTGAAGAGCCTTAATTGGTTCCAAGTTATTTCTAACTCATTATTTTAAAAGCAACAAAGACAGACTGGACAGAAGATGGAGGACAAACATGTTAAAGAATTTGTAGCTCTAATCCATAGCCTGTCCCCTGATGGTGGCAGCGCAGATGCCGGGAGTTGTCACTTCCTGAACCCTTGGTCTTAACACACCGCCGCAGGGCTGAGCACCCGGTCCCCACGGTCTGGGTTATCCCAAGGGGGTTATCAGGACAGGAAAACCTGAATGTGTATTTAAAAAACAATTTTTTTTTCCTTTATTGATTTTAGAGAGAGAGGAAGGGAGAGGGAGAGATGGAAACATTGATGAGAGAGAACATTGATTGGCCACCTCCTGCATGCCCCCAATTGAAGATTTGGCCCACAACCTGGCATGTGCCCTGACCAGAAATCGAACCTGTGACCTCTTGGTGCATGGGTCAATGCTCAACCACTGAGCCATACCAGCCAGGCCCGAAGGTGTATTTAAATTAAGAAAAATCTGTAGTCAGTTAGAAATGAACTCACAGAGTCCATTTGACCAGGCTGCTTGCCACTCAGTGTGTTTGTTTTGGTTTTGCTGGGGGCGTCTATTAAATGTAGTAGCACACTCTTTGTTCATGGTACAGCTCAATATATCTTATAATTGAATAAAAGTAAAGTTCTCCATGTACCTTCACTTGGCAGATTGTCCAATTAGAATTTTTTAAAAAGTAGCACCTTTAATTTCAGGCCCTTTGATATATACATGTCTCCGTGAGGAGCCGCGTTCCGCTGGTACGTGGATGAAGCACTGCCCACGTCACAGCGGGGCCTCAGAGGCTTTCATTTTCCTCCAGGGTTACTTTCGTGGGTGGCTGCTTGATTATTTTTGATGTTTTCAGCAGCCTGGGGAGGGTTCACCTGCTGAGTTTTTAGGTCAAAGTTAACACCTTTTCTTTCTGGATTTAGTCAGTCAGATCTCGTCCTGCTGATTTTTCATGCCAGTCGCCACGGGCCACAAACAGGGTGTGCTTTGTGCAAATGCCCTTCGTCAGCCAGGGACTTCTGGGAGGTTTTCATTTTTTCCCTTACACAAAATGTGAGTGTGTCCTGAAGATGAAGAGAAATAGGTTTATTTTATGTGAGTTCTAAAATTATCTTCTGTGCGCAGGCAAGGAAATGAAGTTTTAATACTTCTTATGAAAATTCCTCTTTGTATTGTTTTAGGCTCTGTTTTCCTCTCCCCCATGACAAGTCTAATCAAAGTTTAACAAAGTCATTATAAAATGTTATAATTTTGTTTTTATACTTCTAGGCATGAGGTTAAACCACCACACGGTGTTCATCTTGGCATCTCCATAAGCAGGAATATGGAAGCCCTCAGCTCAGGGTGCATGGTTACTATAGTCATGTCCCGTTCTGATATCAAGAAAACAATCGTCTGTAGCAACCAGAATCCTGCGATGCAGAGATGTGAGTGCCGGTTACTTGATGCAGAGCAGGGGGGTCAGTGACAGGCGCCTTTCCAGCGGCGCCCAGGGCAGCCCCCCACTCTGCTGCCGCTGCAGAGAACGTTCTCCCAGCGAGGGCACCAGCCCGAAAGCGCTTCCTCCCTGCGGTGCACGCAGGCCAGCGAGCGCTTTAGAACTCTGAGCCCTCGCGTGGTGCTGGGGAGCAAGGGGGAAGAGAAGGGCTCGCACATTTCCTTCAGGCTCCCTGAAGGTGGCCTTGAACACTCTGGGTACATTCACCCCACTGAGGTCCCCAGTGGAGGAAACTGGATAGAGTGCGAGGAGAACTGTGTTTTGAACACTTGGGCATTTGGGCCAAGTCCCCTGTCTGTGTCATTTAATTTCACTGACATATTATAAAAGAAAGGGGTGCATGGTGACAGAAGGAATCCATGTGCACATCTATTACTACGTGAATGAATGATGAGTGAATTTAGTGAATGAGGCCCTCCTGCTGGTCTGGGTCGTTTGTGTGAACTTAGCAGAGGAAACAATGTCTGATGTGATTTTTATCATTTAACAGAGGGTGATAGAAACTCTTACAGGAACATCATGCTTAACGGCACCGTCCTGTCCTCTCTAACCACTGGAAAATAGGTTCAGTTTTGACAACTAACAAGATGAATCCACGGACTTGTGCTTTTGATTTTAGCGACTTCCACATATGACTTGGAAACACAAAGTAAGAACTCTTCATATCGAAGCTGTGGCCTGGAAACAGAAGGAGAAACAAAATTCGTGTTTTGCAATCTCTTCAGTTCAAAGTTCCTCTAGATGTCAGTATTACATAACAAAATGAAAATATAATAGACTGGCAATGAATAAAGACCTTACATTATTTAAATGGTAAAACATGTGATATATAATTGGTGGGAAACAAAACAGCCTTGTTGGGAAGCGACTTTCTTCTATTCCTCAGGATCAAATGACAGCTTCTCCTGTTGCTCCAGTCGGACTGCTGGACCCAGAGAGTGTTGGCCCAGTTTGTGGACATTTGCCACTGACACTGTAGATGGCCTCAGAGGCAGACACTGACCCATCATCCCTCCACAGAGAATTACAACCAAATCCTCAATTTTACACACTAATGGATTGAAATGGACTGAAACACAAGACTTTTCGTTATAGAATCCGCTTATGCTTTACCACTGTGTCCGCAGCATCCGGAACAAAGCCAGGAGAGCCAGCCTAACCCGGAGCGGTCTGAAGCGGAGCCTTGGAAGGCAAAGTTAGAAAGCAGCTTAAAAGCAATTTGTTAAACTATCTTTTTTGACTAATTTGGACATATGGTTTCATAATTAGACTTAAATTCTTGCTCTTGCCTCTCTTCCATGTTAATTCTTATCTTTTGACCAATAAATATGTATTTATTCACTCCACTAATTTGTCTTTATTTTATACCCTTCCACCTTAGTCTCATTTTTCAAAAAATATGTTTTTATTGATTTTTTTAGAGAGAGAGGAAGGGACAGAAAGATAGAAACATCGATGTAGGAGAGAAACATGGATCGGCTGCCTCCTGCAACACCCCCTGCTGGGGACGGAGCCTGAAACCTGGGCATGTGCCCCGACCTGGAATCGAACCAGAATGTCTTGGTTCATGGGACAACGCTCAACCCACTGAGCCAAACCAGCGGGGCTCATTTATTATCTCCTGTAGTGTTAGCTATGTTGTAGAGATTCAATAAATATTAACAGATATAATCTTCTATTTCTTTTTTTAGAGTGACAGTACAATGTAGTAGTTAAGAGCACAGACTAAAGTAGATAACTGAGTTAGAATCCCGGCTATACCATTTCTGAACTAGGTAACCTTGGGAAACTACCCAGCTTCATTATCAAATAGAGTTAATAATATCTGTCCCAAAGAGCTGCTCTGAGGACCAGCTGAGTTAATAAGGTAACAAGCGTAGAAAAGTGCCCGGTATGTAGTCAGCGCTTGGTGTATGTTGGTCACCCCCACCACTGTCGTCATCACCGCCATCATCGTCCCCACTGTGTCTCCGGCTCTGGGATAAACACCAGGAATTCAAAGATAAACCAGTCGTTTTGCCCTTCGTTTTGCCCTTTTGAGGCAAAAAAAGAAAAAAAGTTTAATGAAACATCGCAGGAGATCGCAGGCTCGGTCTGCGCTGGGTGCCTGCAAAGGCGGCGGAGCGGCTGGCGTGGCCTGCGGGAGCTGAAGGGCGTTTTCCTGCAAAGAAGAAGACGCACGTTCCCTCGAAGAGAAAGCTACCAGCTCTGAGGCCGTTACCTCTCAGTTTGTTTTTTAACAGATTTACTAAGCGCGCCTCTGTGTTTCAGGTCCCTGTCTGAAAGAGGCCAGTGCTCTGAGCCTGTGGAACTGCCCTTCGCCTGGTGGAGACGCACACTCGGCTTTGTCTCGACATCTACAGGCCGCACTTAGGGGCAGTCATGCTTGGCGGCCACCCCGAGGCAACGCTGCTCTCTCCAAAGAAAAAAGACCGATTCTTTGGATATCCGTACAATTTAATTAATTTATAATGTATAACTTTAGAATTTGTGGTAATTTGGGTGGATTGGTTTATCTTTCATGCGATATTTAAAAAGCGAATTTGGAGAAGCCAGGACTGTGAGAAGGCTGTTTATCTGCTCAGGAAAAGGGCCATCTGTTCTAAGGGATGTAAAAGTTCCATCTTTAAAAGCTTACTTTAGTCTTCTACTTTCTGGTTTACAAAACCCAATCACATGTGTCCTCTCATTTTTATTAGACTTATGTATGAACTACATCAAAACAATATAAACAGAGGTCGAAGGTGCCTTGAATATTATCAATATCCTTTCATCTATTCATAAAGATTGGCCTTCTTATATAAACGGTGCTAGGGTTTACAGGGCTTCTTTTAAAATGGTGAGTTCATGTGTCTTCTAATACTGTAGTCTATATAGAGTTTCATTAATCCAAACTGTTCTGCCCTCTAAATACTATTAATTTTTTTCTGTGTTTTAATCATGTATGGTTTTCAATCTGGGGTGATGTCACCCCCAGGGGACATTTAGTGATTTCTAAAGACATTCTGAATGTCACAACCGGGAGGGAGGACATTATTGGCATCTGGTGTGTAGAAGCCAGAGGTGCTGCTGAATATCCTCGAATGCTCATGACATTCCCCTCAACAAACGTTACCCAGCCCTGAGTGTCAGTACGGCTGAGGCCAAGAAACCCGGCTGTGACATATAATCCCAGTTACTCCATTGTGTATCCACAGGCTAAGGAGAAGGTGTGGTCATACCCCAACCCGAAAGAAATGGCACCTGTCAAAGGCAAGAGGACATTGGACCTCACAGGTAACATCCTTTTTTTTTCTTTATTGATTTTAGAGAGAGGAAGGGAGAGGGAGAGAGAGATAGAAACATCGATGAGAGAGAACATGAATTGTCTGCCCCCTACATGCCCCCCACTGGGGGTTTGGCCCACAGCCTGGGCATGTGACCTGACTGGGAATCAAACTGGTGACCTCTTGGTGCATGGGTCAATGCTCAACCACTGAGCCACACTGGCTGGGCCACAGGGAACATCTTTAGAAGACTAAATACTTATGGCCAAAGAAATCTATGTTACCAAAGTCCTGTTCTTGCTGTTCTTATTCAGAGAAAGTATGCGTTCATAAAGCCCCCTGTTGGGGGAGGTGCTGCTTGAATACCTTTATTTGGTTGGCTTTGGGTCCCACTAGTCACAAACTAGAAAATCTTGGGGAACCCAATTGTCAGTCAGTTTTCATGTTCACTTCTACTTTGCTTTTCAAAAGCTTTTATCTGCGGGTAAAGACAAACCTGAATAGAGATGCCATTATGTGAAGACAACATTATACTGATCATACACATCCTCCATTAAAATCCTTTGTGTCCGAGAGTGGCTTTTAGAGAACTCTTCCCAGAAGAGCCAGCCTTCCTCTGCCAAAGGAAAGGTTAGTAAACTCAATGAGGAAAATGCCGAGAAGACCAATGCCTCTCTCGTTCTGAGAAGTTTTTCCACATTTCATACAAAAAGACCACAAGACGAGGTAGAAGATTTTGCTCTAAAAAAGTCAGTAGAGCCAAGAGAAAATACAGATGGAAGAGACATTTTATACACAGAGACTGAATAGACTAGAGAATACTAGTGCTGGAGATGACAAGCAAGCCACTGTGGATAAAAATGCGTAGCCAGTGTTCCAAAGAAAGGAAAATGGGCTTCGTTTCAAGAAGACACTAGCGAAAGAGAACCTGAGAAAAAGGGGATCATTGATTGCAAATGAAACAATGATGGACAAGTATTCAAATAAGAAGCAAAATGTTGATAAAACTAATGTAAAATCATTATACATCTACAGCTGATGTTTTTTGTAGATCTATGTGACACTATATTTTAAGGCCATATTGAAAGAGTAACTGAAGGAAGTTTTTAAAGCAATGGTTTAGAAACCAGTTATCACGTATGTAGATTTTTTTTGGCCATGTTTTCTTGCCATTATTTTTTCTTCATACCTGTGACATGTCCATGCATTAGATTGTTTTCTAAGCCTCCTACCAACAGAAAGACAAAGATAATGATTGATAGTACTCACATTAATCAATATTTTTTAAAGATCAAATAAAAATTTATTTTTAGCAATAATAAAGCAATCCCTCCTAAGATCAAGAATCAAATCATGATCAGATTTATCTGTAAGTTAAATCTAATTTTTAAAAAGTTTACTCACCCCTTTATACATGATAAGTTTGGCTCTTTCCCCCCAAACATGGCAAGGATTGAGTAAGAAATAGATTATTGAATGACTCTTCATTTTTAAACACTGTATTTGAAACCTAATCATGGAGAAATCTAATTTTCTGAGAATTGAACATAAACACCTATTTACTAAGAAAGTCCAGCACTGCAAAGGTGTGCTTCAGAAGGTCTTGAGCTATTGCAAACTGAAATTAGGTCGATTCTTTCACCAAGAAAGGCTAACTGTCTGCTGTGAATATTCACAGAGACTATTCTTTTTAAATGGTTGAATTTAGTCGTTTAGGCAGAAAGTGAAAACGTGAAGATCAAGTTAGTTAGGTATTCACAAAATGACTGCATTTGTGAAGGTCAGTGGAATAACTTGGGGTCCTGGTGAAGTCATTGGGGAGATTCTTTGGGATCCTAGTTGCCTACACCCATCATTCTGCTGCTCCATTTTATCCCCGAATACTGACCTTGCCAACTCTCGGTCATGAAGCTTAGTTCCCCTCACCAAAACACCATTTAGAGGAAGCTTTAGCTCTAAGAAATTTGACCACCTAAAAGTTTTCTCCCCAAAACTTCGACAGCTGCAGCTGAGTTTTATTCTCCAGGTGTCATCAATGTAAAAGCCATTCCCATACCATGAGTCCTGGGAAATTCAGCAATAGGACCCATTTTCCAGAACGCTGAACAAGTAGAGTGCTTTAGCAAAAGAGCAGCACAGATGCAGCCGGGACAGGGGAAGGACGCACATTGAGAAGGACACAGGACACCAGACGAGTCCAGGGGAGCTTACAAGGCCAACCTCGGGAGTCTGCTGGAATTAAGACCTGCAGACAGCAAGATCTGGTGACTCCACTGGGTAGGAAATGGTTTCGTTTCAGTCTTTTAAAGCTTCTTACCCTTTCCAGCAAGCATCTCCAAGTAAATTTCATTGAGGCCAACAGCTTGAAAGAGAACATTATGCGATATTGATGCCATTTATGTCTGTAACTTGATCACTTTCTTTGGTCTGAAGAGATGAATGCCACCAAGAGAATTTTTTTAATGATGTCTTTTTTTTTCTGCATATTTATGGTGTGAGAGGTGAATGTTCAAATCAGATTCCCAGAGATGGATATAATCTCAATTAAAAAATAATAACACTTAGCAGAGTGCCTAACACAAGATAAATGTTCAAGAATTATTTGCTGAATAAATGTAAATATTTGAAAGCAAAGTTATTATCTATTAACCTCCCTTTGTATCTTTTGTTTGCATGTAGGAAGGTGCATGCAGTAGGTGCTAAATAATGAATAGGGAAATGAATAGGTTCATGGCAAGCAAACTTTAACAGCAATAATCATGGACAAGTAAAAAGAATACTGGAAGGATATAATTTTATATTTCAGGACCAATCTTGAGGTGGACTAGAGTTTAAACACGTAGGATAGAAGGTAGAAAGTGGGAGAAATTTGAGAGCTGTGGAATATATACTTAGCCAGTTTTACTGGGCATTTTATTTCCAGCCAGAAAAAATTCATATTTGTGCCTTAAGTGTGTCTTAAATAAAGGCTAAAATATTTTGGAAAGTAATATGTAATAATATCACATATTTTAATGACATGAAACTTTTCACTTTTCTTCTCTCTGCTTTAATTAAAATAATGAACTATAACTGCGGTGCTTAAAAAATGGAACAAACAATATCTCATGTTTTAACTTAAATGGCCTCAGGCTTGGAAGTATAAACCATTTGGACTGTATTGGGGTTGGAGATTTTCAGCTATTCTGACATTTCTAAAAGTTGTCCTGAAGATGGTATGAACCAGAGGTTAGTGCCTGACATTCTTTCTCAAAGATGTCAGGTGTCACTTTCATGAATCACAGATCATAATATGAAATGAAAATTTATACTCCCCGGATCATTAGGAATAAAACAGATGGCCCGTTGTATTTTATTATTAAATGAGCAAAATTTCACTCTGAGGCCCAATGCTTGGTGCTATAAAGAGTTCTGACTGCTTCACAGATGGCCCTTCTTTCCTCTCACCTTCTAGATGACGGCCCGGCCCCTCCCGCACCCTTTCGTCACCGGGTCGTAACGGCCAGACAGACAGCGGTCAACAGTGTTTATACTGTGAGCAGAACCGAAATTTTAGGAGGGTAAGTCATGCTCAATTTTAACACATTTTCAACAGACAAAGAACTTTCAAAGGGCCAGATCCTGAAGATGTCACAAATATTTGCCAGTCTTGACCTGAGAATCAGAAATGTCATAAACAAACATTTTAAGAGATTTTAATCATTTCTGAAACATCACTGAAGCCAGAAAGGTTGATGTGGTGACAGCAACTACATTCCACATTTATTACCGGCTTTACTTCCCGTGCTGCGTTGTCTGCAAGTGAGCGTCACCAGGAGGCGCAGAAGCTGGCCAGAGCTTGAAAGCTGAGACACAGACGGGAAATGAGTGAACACCGGCTGTTTCTTGCAGCATGTGTTACATCGTTTTTATCATTGTTGTTGATTGTCCATTTATATTGTCATTGTACTCATTACTATTACCCAGTTAAAGCAATTGTTTTCTTCACTGAAGAACTTATTTGAAGGACAGTTGGTGCACGTCTCCCCCTGAAGAAGGAAGAGTGAAATCCGCCAGGAGCTGAGCTCACTGCTGGGGACGTGCCTTCCTCTTCTGCTTCGGTCGCAATCCCCTATGATATCTTGTCATTTAAAGCCTAAATTCTCAAGTTGACTACCATTGGCATATCTATATAAAATAGGAAGAGGAAAACAGAAGATCTGTACAAACATATACAAAATTTACTTAACAACACATCGCAAAATATTTATAGCTACTATCACGCGTGTTTCTGCGATTGGCCATTGAGAGTGTGGTTGACATTTGTAAAGTCTCTTCTTCCTCTTCCCATTCCATTTCTTTTGCCCTCTGCCACACGTAACCACCCGAACTTTTTCCTCCTCTCTGGCTGATCGTGCAGAACGCCCGTTGTGACTGTGAGGTTGGGCTGCGGGAGAAATGGGAATTCTGAAACGCGAGTAGGTGCTGTGGAGTCTGGTGTGTCCCTGCCTGCAGCAGCTCTGGGGTCTTCAGGGACTTCAGGGCCAGCCAGCAAGTGTTTCTGTAAAGGAGAGTTATCTGGCAGAAGATTTGAGTCAATCCCCAGGGTTTGTGCTGTGTTTCTGGTGAAGGTTATCAATGGCCCCTTAAGAAGTTCATTGGCTCTTCTTGGTCACACTGCCATCTGCAGCAGCTGCTGGTCACCTGCTGTCCGGGCTCCACTCAGAACAGGCAGCCGGACCTCACTCGGTGAATGGTTAGAGGAGTGCAGTGAAATGTGCTGTTGCCTTAAGGTGCAAGGAGACCATCAACTGCTGCATCTCCTTTCAGTAGCCAGAGGGCCCCGATGCCGCAAATTACATTCACTTTTGGCAGAAGATAACTGGGCTCTAAAGAAGATGCCCGAGGTGGCAGGCCCCAGTGTTCCTGGGGTTCATCTCCCAACCCGTGGCCCCTAGGGTATTTATAACCCCAGCTCAACACGTGCAGTTAGCATGGTTTCTCGGTCTGGTGGAGCAGCAGGCATACCCGGAGGCAGCCTGACCCTTCCAGGCACTTGCAGCATAAATCACGCGAGACAGCTGAGGCAGCCCTGAGGTTACACACTGAAGTGGCACCTCTGCTGAGCCAGGCAGTTGTGGGGCTTTTGCTGATCTAGAGAAAACAGTTTGCCAGCCAGCAGCCGCATGCGAGCTCCTGGGGCGCCGTTCACGTGTCCCCGGGAAGGGCGCTGCGGCGGCAGGGGAGTCAAACATTGGTTGGCTGTTACGGACCCATCTGCGGCTGCCCGGGTGTGTAGCTGAGACGTGGTGGGACGTGGTGGTAGTTATCACCCTTCCTCCGTTGGTTGTTGTCAAGACCCTTACCTCTGCAGTCCTCCAGGAGTGCGGCGGCCTTAGGGTCTCGAGTTTGCCAGGGACGTTTCCCTGTTGCCCCAGCCGTGACTGGCACCATCGCACAGGCAGGCAGTGGTGTTCGGTCTATTTTACTAAGTCAGCAGTCAAAGCGAGCAAATCAGATTTGAAAATCATTCATGAGGGTACATATCTGTGTGGGATTTCATTTGTAAGAAGCTGTTTTACAAAGTATATATACATTTGTATCCTTGCTAAAGTGTCAAAAATCTCATAGATAGTTATATGTATTTTTGATTATATGTGTCTATATGCAATATTGTTATTACTTATTTTTTATATACAGTTTCCAAAAATAATTTGATGTGCCTGTTCACAACCAGTATTGTTCACATGCTAACAAAGCCTAGCTTATTACATTTATATGTATTCAGAACAATTCTAATTTTTCTATAACAGAAATTCTCAAATTTTAGGGAGCATATGACTTACCCATGGAATATTGTGAAATGCAGATTCTGGGGCCTCACCCCAGATTCCTGTATCAGTGGGTCTGGGGTGGAGCTGGGAAACGTAGTCCTACCCCCGGAGACTCTGGTGCCAGTGACCCGCAGACCACCCCTGACACTGCGGTAGACGTTTACTGGCTACGGTGGGTGCATGTCAGGGTCGCCCATGCAGACGCAAAAGAGAAAGGCCTGGGCCAACTGCCTGGCCCACGTGGCGGTGACTGAAGGCAGGTCCTGGTGGGGACAGGGCCTCGTGCTGCACCTTGTCCTCTTCTCTGGCAGGGGGCGCTTCGGCCAGGTTCACACGTGTGAAGAGAAAGCAACAGGTCTGAAGCTGGCTGCCAAGATCATCAAGACCAGAAGCATGAAGGAGAAGGTAAGTGCCATGCGATGTGGACATCTCCGTACTGTCGTCTCCACCTCACTGAGGTCCTGTCCCTCTTCTCAGGACGAAGTGAAGAATGAGATCGCCGTCATGAACCAGCTGGATCACGTGAACATCATTCAGCTCTATGATGCCTTCGAATCTAAGCACGACATCGTCCTGGTCATGGAGTAGTATGTATTCCCTCTGCTCCCGCTTCCACTCCCTGCAGAGCTTGCACACCTGCCCCGAGTCCCGCAGCACTGTGACCACGGGACTCAGCTGCGTCCCACCTCAGGACTTGCTGGGTCCACGCTTGGTGGACCACTGTTCTGACTTTCGTGTATGAGATAACATCATCTATTTGGGAAAGGAAATTACTTAGAAACAGCTCTCACTGTACATGGTTTTATTAACAGGAAGGAGGATGACAACATTTGTATGTGAGCTACACTGTCAAAAACCCAGCTTAAATGTGACTCTGGTTAACCTGCAGGACAGTGATTTTTAAACTACATTTCCCTTTCTGCCTAGTCACTAATTCAAAGTTCATGTCAAACTTTTAGTAATTAGGACTTTAATCAGCTTTATCAAAACTTAGTGTTCAGCCAGAAAGTGAATACCTCTAACTAACAGTAAGTCAGTATTGTGATTCAGTTCATTTTTCCCCTCAGTTTGGATTTTCTTTACCATTGTTCAATAAGGAGTTTTGAATACTAAATATTTGGCATCAGCCACACAGAAGCCCTTTATCACGCTGTCTCACCCTCAGTTGGTGTTTGGCCTTTCCCTCCCTGCCTTCTTAGCGGCCTCTCTATTTTCCATGCGTGTTGGGGAATGGCAGGCGTGGGCTCACTCCCGAGCTGTGGCCACTGGATAAAAGGGAGTTTCAGATTTTGTGAAACTGATGGTAGGTAAGACAAGGGCCTTCAACCTAGGAGCCACCTAACTGAGACAGCAGAGAAGGAACTGTGTGCCTACCTCTGATGGAAGAGTTAGAGGAGCTGAAACATGAAGCTGCTGCAAGAAAAGCGTGTTCATGAGGGAATCCTGACTCAGGACGTCACTGCTCTTCCTTCCGCAGTGTGGAGGGAGGCGAGCTGTTTGACCGCATCATTGATGACAACTACAACCTGACCGAGTTCGATACCATCCTGTTCATCCAGCAGATATGTGAGGGGATACAGTACATGCACCGGATGTACATTCTCCACTTGGACCTGAAGGTAGAGCATGTTTTGTACCCCGACCTTCCTGCTCATGTTGGTCAGAGAGCCCGTCAGACACTACACAGCAGCTCGGGACACTGATACTGTCACTAGGTACATATTCAGGAATTAATAAAAATCCAGATTCTTAACCTCATCTCCCTGTTTCCAACTTCTGTCGCCCGCTAATATTTGCATTCTCCTTCTTTAGAGACTACTATTTAGATTCGTGTAACTTGGCCAGGTTCAAGGAATCCTCGGGAAGAGCATTTCTCTAAAACTTTAGAATTAAAACCACCACCACCATCTCCAGGGTGGTGCTCTTATTCTGTCCCTGTCATTCTGTGTTAAGTAGGTGGGAGAATTTTACTAGGTCAACATTCAACATGCCCTAGTAGTAGCCGAACTTCTCAGCTCTGCAAGTGTCCCCAGCATTCTCCCGAATCTCATTCAGGAAGCCACGGGCCTTAGGGATTTGCTTTGCGATGGGCATGCTAGAGCCAAAGGCAAAATGAGACGCAGGGCGGCCAGAGCCAGAGGAAGAGCGATGGACGCTAAGGAGCGGAAGAGGGCGGTGGCGGTGGGCTGGACGCCACACTGGAAACGTGGAAAGCTTTCGTGAGCAGCAGGGATCCGAGATGCCTTCCTTTCTTCTCATATTTAATGACCCTTCCCTTTGGATTTCTGTCCCATTGAGAAGTCCCTAGAATTGAACCGTACCTAGTTACAACCAATGAAAGACCCAGGGCCAATAACTCTGACTGGCTCTGATGCTGGGGCTGAGCATCAGGAAGTGCCTCTTCTGTGTGGCTCAGTCATTTTCCAGTTGCCCTGTTTATACAGCATGGCAGTGGGACAAAATATGCTATACACGTACCATGTATGGGAAGTCGGCAGGGGTTGTAGAGCTAAATGCACTCAACTTCTTTAAATAGTTTCCCATGGGTCTCTCTTCCATAACTTGTCTTCCCTCGCTGTCTTGATTTATGTGCATTGCCTCTCGCATTCACAGAGCAGAGCAAGTGGGATATAAAATGGCAAAGTCAGAGGTTAAAAATCATTAGCAAAGCCCCTGCCTATGAACTAAGTTTGATAATGCCGATTTTCATGGAGCATTTCACTGAGTGTGAATATTCTGCAGATATTTTTAAAGGGATTTGATTGGCAGCTGGAACTCGGACCTGACCTATCATAAGTCAAACAACTCCATATGTGGCTGCATAATGTTGACGGAGGGCTTGCGATGAGTAATTTTAGTTATGGCTTGTATGTAAAGATAACAATAAAGGCAGCAGCTGGATGGGCCATTAAAGACCAGTCATCCCTTTCAGAAAGCTCTTTGTGAAAAAAAGGCCCAAAATATTAAGAGTGCTTGTCATATATAGAGGAGATTCTAGGTGACTTAATAATACTCTCCTTTATATTTGTCTGTATTTTACAGACCTTACTCAAGGAATATGCTTTAATTTCATAATTAGAAAAGAAAAACTTTTGAAGTGCCCTCAAAGCTGTTTCTTCACATTCTAAACAAAATTTTTATGTCATAGTCATCTTTGACAACTGAACAGCTTTATACATGATTGATCAGTTATTCAAGCATAAAACCAAATGTTCTTATATAGCACCCACTTCTCTATAAATAGTTTTTACTCATAGACATCTGTTTTAGAGATATTTTAGCAAAGAGCTTCCAAAGACATTATACCTAACCAAATGGACTATGTTATTTCATAAGGTGTTTTTTGAGGTCCTGATCTCGTTAGAATCTCCTCTGCACCCAGACAGACGGGGGGAGGGCATCCAGGATCCCACCTAAAGGATGGGACATGGGACATGAGGACTTGGTGACTCAGCTCGTGTCCCCCCACACCCCAGCAATCAGGGAAGAGTCAGGATGGATTAGAGCTTGAAAATCCCAGGCAAATTGTTGAAAACTTCCTCTTTTATGGATAACCAAAGCTCATATGTCCCTGACCTCAGTTTTCTGTCCTAACAAAGATAGGTGCATGTGTGAGACATTCTATAAACACTCAGTTACGGTGCTACATCTATGTGTGTCCCTCTTCACCCCAAGACGGTCAGATTAGCAGGGCAAAGTCTTACCAGAGTCAAACTCCAAGGGAACACTTAGTCAAGGGTTTTAGGCATCGAGACCAAACTCAGCGAAACTTTGGAACTGCAGAGAATGAGGAATGAACATGGGGCAAAGCCTTCCTTTGACATACGATGTTCCTGTAGACTAAGCACAAAGGAAAATCTGGAGGTCAGGGGTATGCACATCCTCTTGCATACCCGGTGTGGCTGTTTAAATGAATCAGGCCATTTCTCTTAGAACTCATAAATCTTTGGGTAAAATGTTCCTCCAAGAAGGGGAAATTCATACTTCATAATTTTAGGGGGGCAGATGTCAAGCCTGAGACAGCCCCCACCAGTGCACTGAGGAAGCACCGAAGCAGCCTCCTCCTTTTCCCCTCACAGAGGCCTCTTGCCTGAACTCACACATCATGGTAAACTGCAGAACCAGGGGGAGGGACAGGCAGGGTAATGCAAGTTTGGCATGGTACCCAAAACCTCGTCTACCACATAATTAAAGGAGAAAATACCCACACAGACAAGCCAGCCCCAGAGTGAAAGGCTTGCTATGTTTTTCCTGAGCATCGTTGTATTTTTAGTTGTGGTTCAAGGACAATTTGAGTGAATGATGGTTGTTTTCATTGCTAATGTGTCTCTTTCTCCTGGCAGCCTGAGAATATCCTGTGTGTGAATCGGGATACTAAGCAAATAAAAATTATTGATTTTGGATTGGCCAGAAGGTATGTCTATTGGAACATAGGTGTGTGAATGGAGTCGGGGAGCATGATGCGTGCTCTTTCTCTGCAAAGATAAATCTGACCCTTGGTTTCATACCCTCGTTTTGATTTACTTTAACCAGAATTGTGTTTCGGCTTTACCTTGCTGACTTTGGGATTTGAATGTTTCGAAGTTTCTACTGTGCATGAGAGAAAAAGATAAACAATTAAACCCAATACAGTGATGTTATTAAATTTGAAAACATTAATTTAGAATTTGTCAGAGTTTCTCTTAGTCTTTTATATTTGTCCCATCTGTAAAGAGATTTCCTTAAAAAAATTAACAGTGTGAACAAGATTGCAAAGTGTCTGGCACATTAAAGTTTCTTAAGGAAACGAAGAATTTACATAGACGTCAACACATTAATGATGAATATAGAATAGATGTAGATTATTACATCTAATTTGTTCATTAATAATGGCTTACTGAATACATCTATATGTCAAGGATCATATACGTTTTTATTTGGTCATATTCTATAATTCGAATGTTCTAATTATTCTGAGTGGCTTTTCTAATTGTTTCAGATCATTACGGTTTTACTATATGAATTAGGATTTAAAACTCTTAGAACTTCTTCACAAGTTTTGACACTATGTGATTTCCTTTAAAGTCTATTTCTTCTCAATTTGCTGTATGGCTGAAGTTATTTTATTTTATAGACTGCGTTTTTTCGGTTGCCATGATTTCTGATGGACACTCTCCATCCTCCTTCTTCTTGTCTTCTACATTCCAGATACAGACCCAGAGAGAAGCTGAAAGTGAACTTTGGGACCCCAGAATTTCTTGCCCCTGAAGTCGTGAACTATGATTTCGTTTCCTTTCCCACTGACATGTGGAGTGTGGGGGTCATTGCCTACATGCTGTAAGCGATCTCGTCTCCCTGACACGTATTCTCAGTGGTCATGCGTATTCTGTGAGGTTTTACTATTTTGAATAAAAGTTCTAATTTAGGTCTTTTAAAAATAAATAACACCGTAGGGTATTCAGTTACTTCCCAGGCTCTGCTGAATCCTGTGGGTGGAAGGAGTAAATTCTGGCCCTGGGTCTCACCTGAAAAAGTAACTGCATGTTTTCTGGACCGGTCACTTCCACTCCTGTGACACCACCCAATGCCTTAAAAATAATTTTAAAAATACCCTGTGTCCTGATCTCCTGAATGACTAATGCCAGCCTTACTCCTTAGAGGCGACACTCCCGACACCCCCGGGGTTCGCCATTGCATGTCTGACAGACTTTCTCAGCTGTACATGCTGGTCTGTGAGATGTTGGGGTGCTGGTCGATGAGATGGGCCTTTGGGTCGCTGCACGTCTTTAATGGGACTGGGGGTGGGGGAGGTAAAATAAATAAATAAATAAATATATATGTATATGTATATATATACACATACTCACACATATATATGTGTGTGTGAGTGTGTGTATATATATATAAAATAAAATTATGTTTAAATATTAGGTTATTTGCTTTCTTTCAGTTTTAAATGGTAGACTCACACAAAGCAGCTTATCTGTAAAGACTTTGAAGCTGTGTAAAACGTACTCACTCTAGACCCTGTGTCTTGTAGACTTAGTGGTTTGTCCCCCTTCCTGGGTGATAGCGATGCTGAGACCCTGAACAACATCCTGGCCTGCAGGTGGGACTTAGAGGAAGAAGAATTTCAAAACGTCTCGGAAGAGGCCAAGGAGTTCATCTCCAAGCTTCTGATTAAGGAGAAGAGGTAACCTAAGTTCATTCTGGGCTCTGGAAGAAATTGGGTTAATACCACCAGGGTTATTAGAACTCATGACAGATAACTACTGAATTCCCTTAGTGAGACCTCTGATGCCTGTGCCAGGTTGTAAGTAGCAAGATGTGATGCTCTTGGCCCATTTGACTGATATGTAGGACTGCTGTGGCCGCGAAGCTCAGACGGAGCTGCAAATACTTTCTCCTTTGCCTTTTGCAATAAGGCTCTAGCAGTTAAGGGTTGTTGCTGGGCCTCAGTGGACTCATCCTCAAAATGAAGGATTTGGAATAAGTTATTTCCATGATGTCTTTCACATTTACGAAGCATGTATACAGCTCTGGGTAGCTGACCACTCAACTATCATTTCATGTGAGATCTTACAATGGGCCAGGCTGTGTCAGATGCATATAGACATCATCTGTTCAACTCCTACTCAATTCCACGAGGTGGAAATTATCATTACTATTTTATGGATAAGGCTCTCAGGAGTTTACCCAAGATCATACAGCTAGTAGGTGGTAGAACCTATAGTCAAACACAAGCCTACCTCCTGCCAAGGCCACGCACTGTTATACATTCCACGGCCTTCTGTTTTCTGCTTGCTGGGCCAACGCTCATTTCAAGCTCAGTGGATGAGGAGGGCTTGCCGTTTAGAATTACGGGTAGAAGAAGGCCATTGCCATTACCCTGGCAAACACCTGTTTTATTTCTTTATTTTTATTATTAATTTATTTTATAAGTTTATTTTTGTTGCAGAGGTTTCTCCTTTTCCCCTCATTGACACCCTCCTCCCAATCTTGCTCCCCCCCCCCCAGCATTGTTGTCTATGCCCATGGGTTGAGCATACATCAAACACACTGTTTTAAATGGTTTAAAACAGTCTGTCTAACACATATTACAGTAGGTAGTTTTGAAAATTCTCAGGGCCAACAATACCTGCTTTATTGTCTTATTATCTTTTTGGCTTTTACGTTATAAGAAGCATGACTGTGGAGCAATACACAGGAGGGTGCGGTGGAGGGGCTGGTGACGACCTGGGGAGGGTCTGGGGCAGTGTCTGACACACAGGAAGTGCTTTTCCTCAAGCAATTCATTAATTACCTACAATCTGCCAGGGAATATGTCTTGGGCATTGAGGACAGATGTATAAAGCCCAGTTCCTGCCTTTATATCTAGTAGCAGAGATAGGTATTTAAAAAAAAGATATAATACAGTGTGAGTAATGCAAAGATAAAATATATTGACAAGGGGCAGAACTGAGCCCTAAATGGTGAGTAGGACTTACCAGGCTGGGGCCTCAGTCCGAGAGGAGGGGTAATGAACAGACATTGGTTTTATCTTTAATGGGAAGCCACATTAATAAAAAGCTGAGGTTCCTATTATTATTTATAATACTGAATGCCAAGCAGTGAACAGAGGAAAAATGTCAACTCAGTTGAATCTTTGGTAGATGAGAAATACACATCTACTAAGAACCTATTTTGAGATACAGTAAGTCCTCACTTAATGCCATTCATAGATGCTTGGAAACTTGAATTTAAGTGAAACAACATATAATGAAAGCATGGGGTAATTGATATCAACAAGAGTTAAATTCCTATGGCATATTTCTGGTCACAAAAGCATCAACAAAATTCTAAATAATGACCCAAAACACCAAGAAAATAAAGATGAGCTCTACATACTTTAAGCAAGATGAAAAACAAGGTAATGATTTTCCATCCCACTTGTTCCAGTTCAGGGTCAACAGTGGCCAGAGCCCACCTGGCAGCTCAAGGCTCAGGCGGAACCCACCCTGACAGGACACCTTCCATGTCAGGACACCTCACACATACCTGCACTCGCGCAGACGGGACAATGTAGACACACGGTGCACCCACGTGCACATCTCTGCATGTGGGAGGAAACCGGACTGTCCCAAGAAAACCCTCACTGTCGTGGGGACAGAGTGCACACCCCACAGACAGTGGCCCAGGCCAAAATCTATTTTTTTCTCATTACTGTTATAAGGAAATGACATTGAACAAAATGAAGTTATTCAAGGAGCTGTTGTCCATGCTTCTGTGTCATCAGATTGAATCTCTGGAGATCCTGACTTGCATGGCTATCGTGACCATCATGTTACTGCTGAAGCAGTCACAGGGCTCCTCGGGGCAGATTCCGGGCCGGGCCTGTTGCCCTTCAGCCCCCACGCCCTGCAGGTTTCATTCACACCTGAGGAGCCATGGTACACATTTGGGCAGAATGACAACAGGCTGAGCAGTCAAGTCAATCTTGATGAAACTAAGGCCATTGTCACACAGCACTATCGTAGAAGATAAAATACTATCTCTCAATACTTATATTAACTTTCCACCTATTTCTCTATTTAATTCTTCAAAACTTCTTAATTAAGAAATTAATAATATTATTATTCAACAATTTTAATACATCAATTTATTTTGCAATCATCAAGAATCATTGTAGCATTTTGTTCTTACAACAAGCATACATTTGTTCTTCAACTGACTGATAGTTCCGTTTATGAAGCTTAGACATCACATCAAGAGTGGCTACTTACATTTGAAAGTAGATGTTCAGTTATTAGCAAGAGTTTTGAATTTTTGCCTTGCTTCGTCTTACCCGTGTTGTTACCCTGGTGGACTGAGAGGGTAACCTACTCGACACTGACAATTACAGGGCAGTCGGAACGGACTGGGAACTTGACGCCCGGCATCTGGGCCCCGAAGCCAGTGGCCAGAAGCCAGGTGTCGCAGCTGCAGGCCTCCCTAGGTGTGCTCCCACTGATTACCTCTGCGTTTCCCCTCAGCTGGCGAATAAGTGCAAGCGGAGCTCTGAAGCACCCTTGGTTGTCAGACCCCAAGCTCCACGCCAGGCTCAGAACACAGGTGACCAAGCTTCTTTGTTTTTCCTCTTCTTGTTGGCCTCTGCCTTTTTTTAAAATCCTCACCTGAGGACATTTTTGCATTTATCTTCAGACAGATTGGGAGGGAGAGAAGGAGGAAGAGAGAGAGAGAAACATCGATGTGAGAGAGACACATCGACTGGTTGCCACCCACACGACCCCAACCAGGGCCGGGGACAAACTGCAACTGAGGTAGCTGCCCTTAGCAGGAACTGAACCTGGGACTCTCTGGTCCGCGGGCCGACACTCTAACTGCTGAGCCAAACCACCCAGGGCAGGCCTCCACCTTTTGATGATCCGATGTTGGAGGCGTTTTAGTCATGAGAGGTTCTTTCTCATTTCTTTTCTCAAAGCCTTGAAATCTTGTGCTAGTGCTAAATTGCTTAAAATGCTTTTATTGAGCACTTCGTGTTTTTAAAATAAATGTGAATTGTGCTATATTTATTATTAAATCTATTATATATATTATAAACTATACTATGCACACATACTTAAACACACAAGCACACATACAGCCTAGATTACAGAAACATATCACGTTTGGGAGACTATATACTAATGTATGTTGTGACTCCTTAAAATGGAACTCTGAATTTTAACTTCTCTGCTTACCTGGTTTAGTCTGCTCTGGGCACCAAAAATGATAATACTTGTCTTGGTGCAGATATTAATGTAAGGATATGCAAACTATTCTCTTAGCAGAGATTTTATGAAGGTGACTGAAGTATTAGTTGAGAATAATTGAGTCCACATTTTGCAATAACTTCTTATAATAAGTTCCCTATCTAATCTTATTGCCTTAATTACAATTTATATTCTGATCGCCCCATCTGTCTCTTCAGTACAGATTTCTTCCCTAAACATCAAGTACATATACCCTGTGCACTAGACATTTCCACTTGGGTCTTCTCCTAAACGAAACTCATCTCCCTCCACCTCACCTCACCCTCAACTGTCCTCCTGAAACAACCCTACTCAATGGCCTAGACCAGACCCGAGACATCTTTATTTCCTCCTTCTCTTTTATTCTTCTCATCTAATGTTTATCTCCAAGTTCTGCACATTATTTTCCCTAATTACTCCTGGAATCTGTGCTCTCCATCCCCATGGCGCCTGGGTCCAGGCCACCCTCACCTGAACGAGCGCGATAGCCTCCTGCTGACTGTCCCCTCCAGACCACTGTGAGTCACGCAGACGGCACAGAGCAGATGTGTAACATGTAAGTGAACTCACTAAACATTCAGAGGCGATCAGCGATCTCAGGCCCACCCAGGACAGGCTGACGGGGGCAGCAGTTAGGGTGCCTCCATCAGACGGGCACAGCGAGCGTCCGCTGCACTTCCATTTCCGCCATCGCCGCTGCGGCCCTGCCCACTCCCTGGGGTGGAGAAAGGAGCTTTTCCATGACCAGCAAACCTTGCAATGACTACGTTTCAGGTACTCATTTTTTCCACGTTCAGTTTTTATTGAAATTAACTTTGCTCCTAAATTCAGCATCAGTACTAAATTTTATTTGTGTCTGAATATATCTTTCCTTGATAATTGGTACTGATGTCAAGTAAAAATAGACCTATTACCTAGTCAGTACCTTACCCAGACTACATAAACTGCTTATTAGGGTTACCAACCTATTTTGGGCCAATTTTCCACCAATGTATTTTTATCCAAGCTTATTGGTGTCTAAATACACTTTGACGTGGTAGGACAATATGGAAACCACAGCAGATAATTAATGACATTATACAGTTTAGAAAGTGTTTAAAAATACTTTTAAAACCATGTAGCAACAACAACAAAAATCACCTTTTGGTTATTCTACTTAACTAGTACCTAAGGTGAATAAATATTTCAAGAATGGTGAGGATTAAAAAAAATGTCCAGTGTGTAAACCTAGTTAGTTAGTTAGTTATAACCGTGCGCTGCGCAGTGCTCTGACTGCTGTACAGACATGAACTCAGTGAGTCCTCACACACACCCTGGAACAAGCGCTGTGATATCCTCAGCGTAGATGAGGAGTCTGAGGGGGGCTTACACACCGGCACGGGGTCCCAGGAGGCAAGGGCCGCGCCAGAACCCCAGTGCAGGCGGCAGGCTCCGGGGTCTGGGGCGCGCTCCCCTGCTCGGCTCTCCCACTGGCTGACGGGCTACGGGCTGGAGAGGGCCTGACGGAGTTTCCAGAATGATCGATGTACCGCACGTTATCAAGCCAATACATGGACTTTCAAGCTTAATGGATTTTATTTTTTAGTAAAATAAATATTAGGACTAAATTTCCCAGAAGATTCATTTTTGAAAAAAATCTTAGTTCTGATATGTTCTATAAAATAAGAATTTAACCTTATTGTGAAATTTAACTCTTATCGAAAACTATCTACTATTTAAATCTTAATTCTATTTTAAAAGCCATGTATCAACTGTTATTTTTCTCTTTGAATGGTTTCATCCTTAAAAGCACTTACTACTTCTCAACCACTTAGCAGGCCTCTACTCAGTCACTACATTTAAAAAGATTTTTTTTTTTGCCTTCTGTATTAAGCTCAAGATGCCACACTGTGGCCCTCAGCTTTTCTTGTGACCTCAGCCATCCACACACAACCCGCCCTCCATCGGACAGCTCGATGCGGGCGTGGAGCACAGCACCCCCAAACCTCACGCCCGTTCAGCTCCAGGCTCCTACCGCAGACAGGCAACGCTCTGGGGCCGAGGGAAGGAAAACCGAACAAATGTGACCTGGTCTCTTCTCCCAGAGCTCATAAGCCTTCTACCTTCCTTTCCATTCCCTTCACTCTTCCCTTAGCTCATGCCCTCCTTCCCTTTTACTGAACTACAATCACCCGTGAGCTGGCATCCAACCCCCACTGGCTCTCTTCTCGAATTCACCAGTCATAATTGCTATAGTTACAACTCTGATCACGTTACTCCGATCAAACAATCTCCGAGCGCCCCCGTTGTCCGCAGCAGACACACCCGCAGTCCAGGCCTGCGCCACGGCGTCCTGACTCTTTTAAATGCCACCTTCTTCAAAACGACTCTTCTCAACCCCTGGCCTGGAGGTGTTCCTGTCTTCCTGAGCCTCTTGTCTGCCGGGTTGAAACCCTTCGGCAGAAGCCGCCTCTGTGTCCACCTGGTCTCTGTAGTCACTGCAGCCCTGGTTTGTCTGGACTCCTGTGCTCTGTCTTATGAATGTGTTGAAGGAAGTTTTGACAAAACTTACACGTGTAAATTCAGGTGTCATTAGGTACTAAGCTCTTTGTCCTTGGCCCTGAGGGGAAGGGTGGTGATGGCAGGTGCCCGGGGGAGGGTGGGGTCATGTCTGAGCTGGACTCTAGATCTAGTAATGAGGCTTCAAGAACTTGTCTTGAAGAGAATTTTCTACTCAGTAGCAAGTTATTGACCCAAGTGTTTTCATAAGTCAGGAACTGATGACAAAAGTTCTAATCCTTCCTCAAATGTCTTCTGGCTTTCCCAGGAGAAGAAGAATCGCTGCTCCGACGCTCAGGACCTTGTGACCCAATAGTCTACAGAAGGTGCCCATCTGAAAGGTCGGTCTCAGGTCTTCTCCTGCAGAGGTGTTTGTGGCCTAAGAGACATCGGATGTTTATGGCACTGTGTGGGGAGCAGGGCAGTGCTGTGGCTGAGGCGGAGTGGAGGCCAAAATCAGACGGCAGGATTTGCATCCTGGTTCTGCCGTTTCCTAGCTGAGAAACCTCAGCTTCTGATCCGTTGGTTGGGGAGGGTCTTACTGCCTAAGCTTTTGAGTGGCTTCAGTGAGATAATCCAAGCAAAGCTCTGAGACCAGGGCCTGGCACATAGTAGGTGCTCAGCGGGTGCCAGTAGCTGAACAGAAGCCGTCCCTGGCCGTGCCCAGCTCCGCGTGAGGGCAGAGGGTGCAGCACTTCTCTGCGCAGACAGGGAACCCAGCCCAGAGCCTGGAAGATGAAATAACTCACCCAAAGCTGTACTGCTCGTCAGGGGAGTGCAATCCTCGCAGGGTCTCTGAATCTAGAACCCACACTTTTCTCTTCGGAGCTGCCTCCTGGTCTTCACCCAAACTTGGACCCCATGGACTCTCCCCTGCTTAGGAGGCTCTTGGAATTCTTAAGAGATAGCTTTACACATGAATATCTTCTATTATATCAGCAAGCCAGCCCAATGTATGCCCTAAAGGTTCTAGAAGCCTGAGAAAGTGTACTTATTATGAGGAGCTTCAGAAATCCCAACAGTTATGTCCTTGTTGGGGGGCCATTCACTCTCCAGCAAGTCAGCTCCCTAATCTTGGGCAGTAAGTCTGTGGCCTTTTTGTAACTCAGTTTTAACAATACAGGACTTACAGTTTGTGAACCTGCACTGTTTCTGGCCTCTGGTCTTACTCTTTTATTCTGGAATCAAATGTTGTCATCCTTGGGATTTTCAACAATGAACAGATCACGGGAGAGTGCAGGACACAAGTGCTTGGCAGCTGGGCTGGGCTCCGGCTCCGGCGCCGGCTCGGCCTGGGGTTGGGAACTCGGTGGCCTCGGTGGCCGAGGCCGGCCTGGGAAGTGTCTCCGCGGCTTTGGGACCCAGCCTCCTCACAAGCTCCCAAGCAGCCCAGGGTCTGCCCAGCTCCTCCTGAGCCCTCAGCAACCGCTCCTGTCCGAAGGGACCTGTTAGCTCTTAATCTTTTATGCTAATTTGTATTTTTTCTGGTCTTGAGGTTGTTGTTTATCTATTTGACTATATATATTTCTGTAAGCTGCCTTGAATCTTTTATAGAATAAGATTGGGTAGAAATAAATCAATGTCACAACAAAAGTTGCAAACCAGTGTTAGAAACGCACTTGGCCTTTGGTTTAAGGGTCACTTACTTATGAGTCGATCAGCTGTCTAGAAATCTGTGAAAAGTCAGCAGGAAGGCATGAGCTTCAGCAAAGACGCTGAAGTGTTGGAAGAGTAGGAGGTGGTTTGTGTATTGTCAAATGTGCAGAAAGAGAGCCTCGCTGTGCTCCCAGGCCCGGGCTGCAGTTCACCGAGGGGCCCTCGGCTTGGCTGGAGTCTGCAGGCAGCGGGCCTGTGCTGTTCCTGTCCCCCCCCCTTCCCCAGAAGTCGTTTTGTCCCCAGCTACCACAAACCCCGAGGGCTTGGCACAAACCACCTTCCCACCATAAACACTGCAGTCACTTATGGGGCCTGGTGGGAATGAATTCATTGGGTGGCAGGAGACTGCATTGCAAGGCAAGCCTGTCACCAGGGTCTGGCTGGGGAAGGTGGGAGGACGTGACTGGTGGGCGGTGGCAAAGTCCTCTACACCAGGTCGACACTTTGAGTCCAGTGCCGTGGCAGTCCAGGCAGCGACGGCCAGGTACACAGAGGACAGAGACTCAAGCATTGAGCCGGTCACACCGGCGCACTTGGGTAGGACCACCTTTGTTGGAAAAGCTTGACGAGGCCTCTGTCTGAATTCGGTCATGTCTGCCTCCGGACAGTCGCTCGGCTGGCCGCCTTCCCCTCCTGGGCCTCGGCTCCGTCTGGCCGCAGAAATTTGCCTTTGTCCACCGCACGTCCCCACAATGTAGATTCTTCCTCCTTTATTTTCTTACCTTTTTTTTTTTTTTTCAAACTGCATGCTTTTAAAATGTAAGCTTAAGATATTAACTCTGGGAGCAGCTTCTTATTTTTAAAAACTAGATCATTCTTCACAATATTTCCTGCCAGGCTAAGATGGGGTTTTTGGCAAGATATATTATGAGTAAAACCAACTTTGAGATAATATTGATTTTAGAAATCTGGTGGTTGAAGATTATTTCTGTGGAGAAAGTATGACTTCCAGGCCCAGTGAATAGGGCATAATCCACAATGTAAATTGTGGCATATAAATCTCCTGCAATTTGTTAGAGGTTTTTTGATGCATTGAGGGAACACTCTAAGAACCTCTGAAACGGTGGCGTGTCACCCCGTTCCCACTGCATCTTTTGCTAGCCTGTGAGATCAGACTCGGGACACCTCCTCGGATCCGTAGGAACGATGTCGGGCAGCAAGTGTGTGGGCCGGGCCGGTGTGGGCCTGGAGCAGCGGGCCCGCAGCTCACTTTGATGCCGGCTCAAGCCGACAGCGGACGGGCCCCGCAGCTCCGGGAGCTGGCTGCGCTTCCCGGGAACAAAGAGGCCTTGTCCTTCGATATGGCAAGTAGCACTAAAATATCTTGCATAAACTGAAAAAGAAAAAAAAAAAAAACCCAACCTCACTCTGGTAAGCATTTGGAATCCTTCAAGGGGTTTCTTTTTTTCTCTCACATACACACATACATTGTAAAAAATCGTGTGTGGTTTTCCTAAGGGCACAACCAACTAATTACAATTTTAAAAGCCCTGTTGAATTAACAAGAGTCATATTTTGTTTGCTTTGCAGGAAAACTGCTGGGGTTGCTGTTGCTTTGAGATTTTTGGAAAAATCAGCAGTTCTGAAGCCTTGACCCCTACAATGACTGGTGACCTTGGGGATGTGGGGGCCACCGCACTCGAATTCAGAGCTCCCCGCCCCAGGGTGACGCCCAGTGCTTTGGTCCCAGGGACACAGGCACACCCCACACCCCCTCCCTTGTCTCCCCACACCCCATGGTAGTGCACACTTGGGAAGATATTTCCCTGCTATCTTTACTTTTTTATTTTTTATTTTTATTTCTTGATTTTAGGCACGGAACAAGGGGTGCGCTATCTCTGCTAGTCCTCAGTTTACTGTTTTAAAACCCGGAGGACGCATTTAGAGGGAGAAAACTGCTTCGAGTCATTAAATGATGCCTTCCAAAGGGATGATCATATCGCCGGGAAAAACATCCAAGTCTGTGCATCCTTGAACACGTAGTTTCTCAGACGTTATTATTCCGATTTGTTCTGAAATCAGGTGAATCCAAATGATAAATAATTTGCTTTCTGGAACATAAGCTTTCTCTGAATTCTGAGGCGAGAGACATCAGACATTCTACCTTCCACAATTCTGCATTTCCCTCCAGCTGCAGCAGTTTCTCCCAAGTCACTGGTTCTGTTCCAAATGAGTGACATGCGTTTTCATGACACGCTGCCCCTTTTCCTCCGATTGAACCTTCGGCTACGTGCAGCCCTGGTTTTGAGAGGTGGTGCAGGAGGTACCTGTTTATGAGTGGTTTATGAGTGGTTTTTAAAAACGTCTGGGACGATGTTGACAGTGATGAGAGCTCTCCTCACTCTGCACTTGTCGATGAGGAAAGACGGGCCTTGCGTGTGCCCCTGCGGAAGGACAGTGCTGTGCTCGCAGCGTTGAGGAGACGCGAGAAATGGTACTCAAGTCAACGCGAACACTTCTAAGGCCTTATGATCTCAACCATGTGGAGTCTCACATGACTCAGTGGTTGTGAAGAAAGCATTCAGAAATCAAAGGTGAGCCCCAGCTGGTTTGGCTCAGCAGTTAGACCATCGGCCTACGGACCAAAGAGTCGTGGGTTCGATCCATCAAGGGCACATACCTTGAACGTGGTTCGGTCCCTGGCTCTGGTTGGGGTTGTGTGGGAGGCAGCCAGTCACTGTGTCTCTATCACATCGATGTTTCTCTCCCTCCCTCCCTCCCACTCTATCTGAAGATAAATGGAAAAAATATCCTTGGGTGAGGATTAAAAAAAAAATGGTGAGGGGAACACCTCTGTGCACTTTTTTGACACGAGAATGATTTGTGGTTGGAAGTTCTTGTTCCTGAGCTCCTGTACCATTTCAACACAGATATTTAATAAGGAAAACGAACCCTGCTGTAGATGACTCAGAAGGGCCTCTTAAGAATGCAGCATGGCGTGGTTTCATTATGAAGAAGAGACAATGCAAAGCCACACTTACCTCTGATTACACACCCAACACCGAGCTCACCATCCAGCTTCTTACACTGCCCTCACATTTGCCATTTCCAAATAACTACTCTGCTGAGATCAGCTAGAATACTGTCTTTATTTTTGGCCATAAATTGTTCTAGGCTCTTGCTGTCACAAAAGCCATGGAATGACTTGGTGGCCATATTAGCGAGGGCAGTTTTAACCTGCATTGACTTTTCTCCATTATTTCTCATATCCACCTAGTGAACCCTTTGGCTTGCCCATGAACAACTATCTGAGCAATGTCCTTATTTCCATGCGTAAGGTAAAGAGGAAGTAGAGAAAGAAGAAAATGTTTAATTTAGTTAAGGCCACATGCCAATTTAGTGGTCATGCTAGCTATAAAACGAACTCTTTTCTAGCTTGGCTCGTGCACTAGGATGCATTTCTTTTTTCCTTTGGCCTATGCATTTATCCAAGGTTGGTTTCTCCTGTTCCTGTTATGTGACTTGCTTAAAATGTTTAATTTAGTTTCCTTAAAAAAAAAAGTCCTGTGACTGAAGTGTTATATTGCTGTGCTATCTTTAGCTGATGGTATTCATAGAGTCTGGAAAAATACAAGCCAGTACACGCATTAATACTCAGACCACAGAGAGTTGGCATTTACTCAAATGCTAAATAAGACACAAGGGTCTGATCCGAAAGCCCGCATGGAAAGCTTTTCTGTCCTGCGGTGTGCGTTCTCTACCAGTCAGAGAAGAGGTATTTTGCGTGATGTGCAGTTTGCATCCAGCTCCAACTCTGCCTCATGTTGGCAGATGAACTTTCCCCAGGCCCTGCTGCACATGGCGGAGACAGCTCAGGCCAAATAAAAGAATTATTTCTTTGCCAAATTAATCCGCTGATGACCCTGCATTGAGTGGGTATGATTTCTTTCAGAAAAGGTTTAGAAGGGAGACTCTACTTTGAAACTGGATCTCCTTCAAATTTAGAAATTGAATTTAAATGTAGTTAAATTTCCGCATTTGAGCGAGGAGGCCTCCCCATGCCAGCAAGGGGCCTTTCACAGGCCAGAGGAGGAGAGTGATTGTAGGGTTGATGAGCACAGTCCAGAGCTACGTGAGAGGCCAGCCTTGCAGTCCCTGCTCATCCCGCTGCCTCCTCCTGGCCAGGCCTGGCTGCTCCAGCAAGAGCCCCATGGGACCTGCAGCTCTGACGGGAGAAGGGGCTTTGCACAGCCGAGGAGCCAACCAGCATGACCTGTAGGGGCTGAGTCTGGCTAGACCGGGGCTATTGTGATCGATATTTTCCAAGAAGTCATTAGCATTTGAGAGCCCGTATTTCTCCTCCACCCTCGTAATGACGTGATATGGCTTCGCTCACTTGAATTAGGCAGTTGCCATTCCTTTACTAAGTGGAGGAAATTAAACACTGATGTGGCCCTTCCCGCTGCCTGGAGAGAAAGAAACCTCACAATCTGTTAAGGAAAAAGCATGTCCACATTTGTAACTCATAAGATACCAACACTTACCCGGAATCTGCTACTATTTAAAAATCAGGGAGAAAGGGCTCAAGTCCCAATTTGTGGCACAAAAATCTCTGAAATGAATTCTTACCTGAACTAACTTGGGGAATGGATTTCTAGGTTAAAATGGGATCATTCTCATTGCAGAGTACCATAGGTTTCTTTTTCATTGTCTGACTGAATATTATTTTGCTTTCTTTCCTCAAAAATGTAAACAGGCATGCTGCCAATGTCATGGCGTCCTCTGACAGGTGTTTTGAAAGATGTGTCAATACTTATATTTTCACCATTTTTATAAAAATTAATAAATATAGCAAAATGTTTTCTTCTTTAGAATCAATATGGATCTGCTATCAGGGACGTGAAGGTCTTGCTCTTCCTCTCTGGTCCGCCTGCCCCCCCACCCCACGGCCGCGACTAGGCCAGGGGAGCTGGTATGCTTGTCCCGCTGGCTACAGGCCGGGTGAGGGAGCCTCACTTGGAAAATTCATTTGTAAAAGTGTGTTGACAGGGAGACCAAGGCATGTCCGCGGTGGTGCTCGGTAGACGGTTCAGCTCTCTGTTCTCTGGCCATCCGGTCACCAGAACGGGGCGCTCACCCCTGCGCCTCCATTCTCCCTCGCCACGGCGCTCCCAGCCTTGCTTCTACTTTTGTTTTATTTTTTCCTTCTTCCTCTTTTTCTTAAGTTAGAGTCAAAGTGCATCTTGACGCGCCCCTAAAAGCCTTTTGAGGATAAAAATTATATTTCCAAAAGGTAGGTTGCTCCCTGTCCTGAGGAAAGCCCGGTGCTGGACGCCCAGGTGCTCAGCTCCCGGAGTGAGATGACCTGCTGCGCCGCGTTCTGCCCGTTCTGCCGTCTCCAGCTCCGCTCCAGTCGGTGCGTTTTCTGTAAGAGGTTTTATATAAGCAATTTCACCTTCCATGAAGGCTTAGAACTCAACTGCTGCTTCCCCAGAAGAGCAGGAAACATCAGATGCTGCGTGTTCACACTGACGTGTTTGCAGCCTGTGCTGGTAGACATCAGTGAGTCCTTCCGAGGCGCGTACCTGTGGAGATAACAAATAAAAATGCATTCAGAATGTGGTGCTGAGGATACCACGCATATTTTTATTTCTGAATATCATTTCACTCAGCTGTATTTCATTGCCTTATAAAGATGTATATGTGTTATACTGAAGAATAAACATGGGCCTTATTTACCCTTTGGTTAATGAGCTAAATTATTCAAATAAGTGGTCTTGGCAAAAGCAGTACAAACTCTCTCTTTTATGACAAATTCTGGCGTGTTAAAGCCTGTGATATTAAGAACCCAAGATTCCTTAAAAGAACAATGTGACCTTCACAGGAGCTCCAGAACCTTCCGCAGAAATATGGGCTAGTCCCATGGAGGTAAAACAACCTCCCTATTTGAACACAATGTACTAACACAGGGTTGGGGCTTCTTTTTGCCATTAATACAAAAATGTTTACAGAGATACATGTAAAGTGTATAGTGTCAGAATAGTGTTTAATACATTATTAAGGCAGTTAGCAGCAGTTGAAACCCTTTAATAATGTACCTCAGTGACTATTCCTCAGACCCTAAAAAGTGTTTGCTTCAGAACAGTCCACCGCTAAAAAGCTTCAGTATGAAATGACCACTAGTCATCGGCTGCTGCCTGGTGTCTGGGGCCAGCGTTTTGGCTGGAAATGCTGCTGACTCTCCAATTCCACAGCCACCTGCATGTCTGCAGACGACACCTGAGTCCATTATAACATTCACCTTCTAGCCTGGCAGCGACTGACCCTCTCAGTGTCAACACAGTCCCCACCCCAACCTGGTCTGAGACAGTCCCACTGAATTTTCTGTTGTCTCAATTGTAGGCAGAAGTGGGGTCTTTGTGTTCTCAGGTAAAGCAATACCGTCCCTCTCTTTTGAACCCCAATCTTTTCCCACTTAAACCTCTAAGTGAGGCAAGCATTCTGACTTCTTCCCCAAAGTGAGGAAACCTGAGTGATCCTCTGTGATACTGTGACATAAGAACTATATATTTGGCCTTTGTCCCTGTTCCTGGCACAGAGCTCCTAAAACCCTTGGAATTTCCTAAGTGACGGGCAAGAGCAGCATCGGTTGTTCTTCCTAATCAGCCCGTTTCAATCTTACCTGAGTTCACCCACCTGAGGCCATTCCTGGAGGCTGGGGGCTGGTTGCCGGAGGAACCAACCACGTGAGTAGTGGGTGGAAACTCCCCACTTCCCGCCTCCACCTTCAGGGAGGGGAAAGGAGCTGGGGATTGTGTTGATCACCACTGGCCAGAGATTTTACCAATCGTGCCTGTGGAATGGAGCCGCTGTAAAAAACCTTTGCAAAGGGCCGTGGAGACTTGCTGGGTTTGTGAACAGGAACACATCCACGTGCTGGGAGGGGAGCTCACCCCAGACACCACAGGGACAGAGCTCCCGTGCTCCGGACCCTTCCAGGACCTCAGCCCAGTACCATTCACCTGGCTATTCATTCGTAGTCTTCATTATATCCTTTACAGCAAACTGGTAATAGTAAAGTTTCCCCCTGGCTTCTCTGAGACACTATAGCAAATGATCGAGACTTAGGAGGGGGTGGTGGGAAGCCCTGATTTACAGTCAAATCAGACAGAAGTGTGGGCAACCTGGGGACCCACTACTTGTGACTGGTGTCCAAAGTGGACACAGCCCTTAACTGTGGAGTCTGAGCTAACGCCAAAAAGGTAGTGTCAGAATTTTCTAATGCGAGAAAAAAAGCCCATACATTTGGTGTCAGAAATGCTACGAGTAGAGAAATAGGTTTTCTTTACCCTCCAATGTGGGCACGAGGTAGATTCCAATGGACATCTCCACCTTTTCCCAGGTTCTCAAGGCCGGGCCGGGGCCGGGGCGGGGCCGGGGGGTGAGAGTCGGGCATCTCCTCCTGGCCCGTCCCCTGGGCTGGAGTGGAGGGAGGCAGCCCTGACACCCACTTCCTCTCCCCCTCTGAGCACTGCTCGCGCCGCAGGGGCACCCCCCGCAGGACCCAGCCCCCCGGGAAAGATAAGTGCTTCTCGGTGCTCCCCCTCAGTGACCTTGCTACTGCTCCGCACACAG